AATGGTTGTTTGAAATTGTCGCCTTACTCCTGAACGGCATGCCGAAATTGACTGCATTACGAATGTTCGATTTTAAATTCATGAAAAATGTCAGTGTTATCGAAAACTTGTCAGTTGGAGCTGAATTAGTATTCCCGTTCTTGCCTCTTCTTCGTTTATTTACGCTTCGATGCTCCCTTTGCTACCAAAAAAATTGTGTTAATAACATTAACTATATGGGATGAGTATTCCCAATGCACTTGCCGGGTTATTTTAAAACTTACTCTGTCAATTATATTTTACTCTGGACCTTGACCGCGCGCACGCTGAAATTGACTATTCAAATTTTTATAATTTTCATAGTGGGCTTTAATTAACGAATTGAAGCTAAACGTGGACCTAATATAGGGCGATATTAGGATTAATAAACTCAAATAAAACAAATAAAACACGGCCATTTATTTTTATGTGCAACAGTTATGACCAGTCACCTCGTTGACAGCGAAATTAAAAATATAAGTAGAACAATGAATAATAATTTCCAAAATTAAAAGACAAAAGCACAAAGAAAACGTATAATTAAATTGTCACACGGAGGGTTAATAAAAAGAAATATAATTATAGTTAAGTTAAAATATTCTGTTAAAAAAATTAAACACCGCCATCAACGCGCCTTTTTGTACAAACACACGTGTTATATGCATGCAGGATAAAATTTCATGTATTGCCTTTATGGATATTACATAATTAAAAAAATTAAAATTTCAACCGCGGTGCCCTAAGCTTTTTTGCAAGTTTTTAATTATGCATCATGCGAAAGGGACTTTTATAAAAAATGAGGTACATACACGTGATGTTGTTGGCACTTTGACATATGTATTTGTGCGTCATTTAAAATACAGGGCGTGTCGCTTTTATGAACTCGACGAACAATGGCTGTTAAGATTTGGCAAATTTACAACGATAATAAAAGTCACAAAACTGAATAAACCAGCACTTACTGGCAGTGCTCCTATGAAGTTTCTCATTATTCAGTTAGCCAAAAGCGCACAATTTAATTAATTATACACCACAGAATAATTAGATTTAAAAATTTGCTTACATCCCTATAAACATGTTAAGGTTAATTTTTGTGTAGTGCTTCGTTTCGTTTTTTGAATAACATAAGTGACGCATCATCCAAGTCTTGATGTTCATATATTGTAAGGTAATGTACGGAAAAGAAACAACAAAACAAATTTGGGAAATCTGTTTAGAGCACAAAGCCTGGAAGTTTTCGTCGAGACAATTTATCCGGCCATTAAAAATTTACGTAAGATTCCAGTTATTTTACTTGGAAATCGCTGCCAAATTTTTACATTTTCTTAAAGCAGCTGTGCGTAAATCATAAAAATTATCTGTTTTATTTAGAAAATTTATATACCTATTTATGTAGTTTCACAAAGAACTATAAAGCTGAAATTACCAAGCGGTTTAACAGTGCCGCATTAACATTTTTACAATAAAGTCATTATTTTATTCACTGTGTTAAAGCAGGAACTCAGTTTTATATGCATTTATTTCAAAAATGATCGAAAATAGAATTAGCGTTTCGAGTTTATAATTTAAACGTTTCATTTAATAAATTTTACCTCAGGAAAGTTGTGTTTACTTTTTACAAAATAATTTCCAAGCCGTGTTCTCTTATCATTATAAAGTTATTATACTGAAGTGTAACACTATGTAGGTAATGACTATTATGAAAAACAATATTTCTATTTAGTTAATACAATGGTGAAATTATCAGTTGTTTATAAAAGGAAATTGCGATTAGTTTACTGCTTGATTATGTTTTTCTTTATGTTGGTGTTTCCTACGCCATGAAACATAATTCTCAGTAGTACGTGATAATTTGATCTCTATAAATCACATTTAATTAAAGATTATTAACTTTGATAATTACTTTACCATAATGTAAATTTGAATGGAGCATTTACTTTGCTAAAGTGGCAACATAAACCAGTTCATACCTCAATTTTTTTAACATCAACATTTCAAAAAATAAAAGCACGCTAATGAGAAACGAACAGGTTCCATCTTATACAGAATTTTTTAATAGTAGGTATTTAGTAGATAATTCTTGACACGTTTTGACAAATTTTTTAAAAGATATAACCAACATTCTGAATTCAGTAATCACTAAATCAGTTTCGCTGTATTAAGTACAAAAATTTCAAATTTTTAAAAATAAAACTGAAAATGTCACGGTTTTTGTTAAGAGCAACTTAACAAGGATTAAAATGAAATTTAATTTTGTTTTATAGTGTAATTTTAATTTAATTTTGCTTTACCAAATGGATCGAGATAAGAGACTATACCTACTGACTCAGGAGTACCAAACCTTACCCTAAGGTACTTTTGACTGAGTGCTGCGTTACTCAAGTGGTTTAAGCAGCATTAGAAAAACAAAAATAGATATTTACGTATGTACGTCGGTATATGCGTTTTTTGGTGAAAAAATAAAGACGAAACAATTTTAACAACTAGTCGGAAAATACACAAAAACTCAAGAAATAAAACTTAAACACAGTTGACTTTTTTTTTTAATTACGTATTTGGATCATATTTTTCGTTTTTGTATTATGTACAGGCTGTCCACGTAGTATATGGTACAAATTATACAAAAAATCAAGAATGCCATTTAACAAAAATGGACACAGAAGTAAACCGGTGTTTCACAGCAACCTTCTAACCAAATTTGGAATCTTGTAGTTGATGCTCTCAAAAACAATAAAAATAACTTGTACAAGTTCGAACTGTAAATGAAGCATAAACTAAATACAAACGTTGAAAACTTATAAAAATAACATACTTTTATGTAAATACGTTTCACAAAAAAATTCAAAATTTGTGTGACGAAGTTGTAACGTTATCGATTTTTCCTTAATGAATAGGTACCCCATACTTTTAAACATGTTAAGAATGTGCACAAAACTGAATGTCGTTGTGTAACTTTTGTACCTTGTAATGTTTTATGATGTTCTTGCTATTCACAAAACTGTTGATGACGTCACAATTCAACCACTTGATTTAATTTTAAGCCTCTTTCTATTAAAGTATTTTTTCTTTATTTTTAATTCCTTTTCGTTTGCCACTAGTTTCAGTTAGGCCTATCTAAGCTCTATATCCCCATATTCAGTGTTTTATACATTTTTTTAAATTCCTTTAATAGGATCACAGAAATATTTTAAATTTGTTCTTATAGTTCCTACAACTAAAAAAAGTCAAATTCTATAAATTTTCGAATTTGTATCCAATTTGTCCACATACACGAGTTAAAAAAATAGGAAATCTGATGTTTCTTGAAAATACAAGAAAATTTTCCACTAGTTCGCAGAAAAATGCCTAAAAATCTGCAGTCCTGAACATGTTTCACCTTAATTTTGCAAATTAAATTTTAAAATGTCGAAGAGCCAAAAGTACCACCTAATCATATACAGGGTGACACCTCGAATAATTTTTTTATTTATTAGGCAAAAGTAAAGATAAAATAAATTTGCAAGGAAGAATAACAGCCCACGTGCATTGCAAATTCACTTCTTAAAAAAAGTAACGGAAAAAAGTATATTGCAGAAAAACCATTTAACTTTTTTTTCAGATTTTGTATTTCTTTTATTTAAAAATAATATTAAAAAATTGGCTTTATAGGCTTCATTATTTAATATTTCTGACTAATGTTTTTCTCTAGTGCAACTTAAAGTAAAATTTGGTAAAATGTTGGATTGGTTTATTCAGAAAAGCACTGTAAATGAAATAATTTCATGAGTTTCAAAAACAGATGCTCATCCCATAGGTAAAAACAAGTTTAGAAACCAAAGCGCAAAAAATGCATTCAGAAAATGTTATTTTGCAAAAACAAATAAAACGTAACAAGAGTAACACATCATATTGAACTTTGCAAAGTATATTTTTTCTCAATTTTACAGGAAAACAAAAATTCAGATAAATAAAAAAAATGTCAGGATTTTTTTATTTTTTTATTTGGCTTTCTAATCATATTAACGAAATGATGCATACTTACATAGAAATCATTCGTCTTTATTTATAAACTAAATTCCATTAAAATAGTTTCATAAATTTCTAAAAAATTATTCGATGTGTCCTCTTTTAGCTAACTCACTTTCTACATCATTCTATAAAAATAAAACACAAATGCCTACATCGGAATAATATGAAATTTTTGTGTATTAAAATGTAGCTAAAATTTTGATTTTGGATATAGATTTGAGGTAAGCAAATATTTTCCAGTAAAAGTATGATTAAGACGAATTTTTGTCAAACATGGTACTTGTTTTGCGTGTTTCACAGCGAGACTGAACATCGTTCTTACAGTTAAAAGCCCTTTAAAATTAAATCCAATCAAAAATTGGCTTTCAGATCCATTTCGCCCGACGCCAAATGCGAAAATGAATTTATAAAAATGCAGTGTGTACCTATATCACGAGAATAAAAAAATAATAAATCAATAACTAATGGAGAAATTTTTGTGTTTCTATATGTTACAAATCATATTTGTCCTAAATTTAGGCATAAATTCACTTTCGTGTCAAACGAGGCTTTGTGGTTATTGGTTAAGTTTCTGACCATTTGTAAAGGCTTGAGTTAGAACTGGAATTTTACAGCACACGAGGTATAGACATATTTTTGGAAAAAACTTAAAATTTTTAGGCGAGTTCTGAAAACTGTCAACCAAAATTTTTAGGCATGTTTTGTGTAAGTGGTATGTACTTATAAAAATATTTTAATATTTTGTTAATTTGTATATCAGTTTGAAAAGAGACGTCATTCGTCCTATGTGCGTACCTCCTCGCACAATTGCATGATTTTTGTAAACAAAGCTTCCACATGGCCCGAAGCCCCATCCAGCGGCATGTCAGTGCGCGCACATGTTCTGTTAAATCCAGAACCGTCTCCCCCGGCATGCCGGCCCGCAACCCATTCAAATCCTATCCAAAACCGCAACAACAAATGAAAAATCGTACCCGTTCTGGTCCGGCACGGCGGGCTGCATCCACGACCTCGTCGTCGTGAGCGGCTCCTCCTTGAGGCTCGGCCCCCGAGGCTGGTGGTGGTGGTGGAGGCCGGCGGCATCCTGGTGGTGATGCAGGCCGAACATGAGTCCCGGCGCGGCGACTCTCGGCGCGCCCGTCCCGGGGTACAGCTTGCGGCCCCAGGCTGCGGCCACCGGGTCCAGCTCTGGCGCCGGCAGCGACAGCGGCCACGGAGACGCCGTCGGATAGCCGCGCTCCACGGGGAGGCTCTCGTCGGACCGCGTCTTGGCTGCGTCGGGACCGAACTGGCACTGCACTCACTGGTCCGTCCCTGGACGGAGGTCCATCCCTGGAAGACGATTGCCCGCGAGAGACCTGCACGACTCGAACGCGACTGGGACGCTGATAAGCATCGAATGGTCTGCGGCCGGCGCGCTCGGGGTGGAGTGGCGGCCTGGGCCTCCCCAGGGTGGCGCGGCCACACCCCGGAGACGGGCGACGCCGGGCGCCGGGGGCAGAGCCGGCCTCTGGGCGCCTCCCCGGCCAATCGCCTGGGATAGCGGGAAAGCGCGCCGGCCAATCGGAGCGGGCCGACGTCACTCCGGGCTACACCCCGCGGTATTGTCGCCTTATTATCTTCTCCCAGGCCGTGGTGGGGATGGGGGCGGGGGCGCAGGGGGGGCGGCGCAGCTGGCGCGACCTAGCGAACGAGTACCCAACTCGAGGTTTCGCGAGCCGAGCACTTTCGCGGCAGTGCTCTCGCGGAGTCCGGAATGCTCCGGAGCGCCACACTGTTTCCGGGATCGGAAGTTGGCGGCGAGGCGAATGCGACGGGACTTGGGAGGCGAAGGCGCAGAGTATGGTTTAACTTGAGAGATTATGTTTTTATTAAACGTATTTACGCTGTTAAATATTAATCTTAGGTAGGATGTATTTTGCATAGCGCATAAGCGTAAATAAGGCGTTTTTTGAGCTAAACTAACGAAAAAATTGCTTTATAAAATTTATAACATCTTGATGACGCATGCAGTTTTTTTTAATTAATTTTTTAACATCCTAAACTATACACTATACAGTAAACTACAAAGTATGTATTTTATTAAAAAAAAAAATAAAATCGTAATCATTTATGACAGAAAAATCAGTTTTTGAATTTCTTATAGATATTAAAAATGCAAACATTTTTAAACCAGTATTGAAAAATGTAATGTTTAGAAAGTGTACTGTAGATTAATTATAATAATACACCTTTATATCATAGTAATAAAGAGGTGAAGTCTAGCTTGAAAACACACATATAATATTGTTACAAAATCAGCTAAACTAAATAAATAGGATCAATAAAATAAGTAAGTACCAAAAGCTAAGGAGATCGTAACACGTAAAAAAAAAACAAGTGATGCTTATTTTGAGACGAAAGTTTTTCAAACTCAAATAATTTTTAAATAAATTATTGTATGAATTGTCTATTTATTCATACAATGAAAACTAAAGATCTTTCAAATAATGTGGTTTAGAAGGCTGCCCTGAGAAGCTCATGAACACGACGTACAGGAACACTACGCATAGGTATCCTATAGATTCCTTCTTGAATGGAATTTCTCACTCAAATACATGTAGAGATGGAAAGTAAGAATCACTTTGGAAATAAAAACGGAAAAGTAATATTTAAAGACATGAGTAATTTTTGGCCACCCCAATCTTCCGATGTAACAGGTAGCATGATCGTACTTTTTCATTGTAAATTTGGATCTACAGCAGGAATTTTGTACTTATTTTTTGCTCTCTGTATTTAGATTGTATATTAGAGACAGAGATAATAAACAATACTTAGGTAGATAATAGAAATAACTTATAAAGACACTAATAAGTATAATAATTTTAGAGTGCAGTTTTTTTTATATTGGGGGTGTTAGCTTGAACTTATTACTTTTTTGAAATTTCAAACATCTCCTTTAAATTTTAATGCCTGCATTTTTAGCGTAACTTGTTTTAGTTTTTATTCTTTCGGACTCCTCTGTGGTTTGTGAAATTTGTGAATTTGGATTATCACATTTAGATAGGTAAGCAAATGTTCTCCACTTCCCCACTTTTAAATGCCACATAAAGTGAACGTCTAATAAAGGTATTAAAACACGTAAATCAACTTTCTACAGCGAGGAGACCTTTAAAATTAAAACCAATTAGAAAATATCCTGGGACTGAAAAACTGGTTTTTAGATCATTTCACCCGATGCCGAATACAAAACTAAATTTAGAAAAAATGCAGTCTACCCTATCAAAAAATTACTAAATCATTAATAGCGATTTTCTTTGTTTCTATGATCAAGTATCCGAGCCATATATTCCCATGTTCCTAATACTGTTAGGGCTAAAAAAACACGATAGGTACACCTATTTGGGTCACTGAAATAATTGAACTTGTGAAGTCATTATTTTATATCAAACAATACAACTGTTAAGTTTAACAGCTACAGTGTTCCTTATATTGTCATTCGTTGTGTTTCTGTTATTACCAACGGTACCTAATATTTGGAAGAATTATGATAATAAGAATAGTTAGGTATAATGAAAAAATAAGGATCTGAAGGATTTTAAATATTTCAATAAAAACATAAAGTATAAAAAAATAAACCAGATTCGGAACCAACAATTTTAACGAAAACGCAAAATTAATTTAAAAAATTATTAAATTAGTCAAGACAGGGAATAAATGAAAATTTATTTGATATTTATTTGTTATTTTAATATTTAATAAAAAGTAAAAATTATTTATAACTAAATAAGAAGACTTTTAATTTTATTTTATACAGTAAATTAGAATACCGCAATATTTGGACCACTATGTTCCAAATATTGCTACCTACATAAATTTAATAAAATATCCAAAAATTATCACAGCTGAAATTTTTTTCAATTTTATTTTTATTTAAATAAAGAATACCTATGTATCTAATACTTACTAATTAATCTACTGACGAAATTTTAGATTTCAGGTTCCAGAACGTAATTTGTCAACAAATTTTAGGCTTAGGTAACAAATCACGGTCTTTCTAAATTTAGGTTTTACCCGTTTTACGTAGCTTGTGGGCCACAAAACTCGTTTTTCAAAAACTTTTTTTTTAATATTTTTTCAACGTTGACACCATCGAATTATTTATTATTTTACATTGTAGCATGTAGTCATTGATCTTTTTAACAATTTGTAAATTTTTTTATATCGTTCGCCTACATAGATGTTGGTATACCTATCTAACATTCATTGTCCGGACGTAACATTGATGACAATTATAAACAACAACGGGCCTAAATTAGATCTTTTATATTGAAGTGAACTTTAAATTTTGTCGTATCATAATTTTTTTCACTGGTAAAATTTCAAACTTTATATTTAAAAAAAAAACAAAGTTCGCCTCTAAAGGTTATTTATTATTCTTCCATTTTTAAAGGTTTTTTTGTTAATTTGTATTGTCTTCTGGCGCCTTATTGGTTTCAGTTAGATAGTTGTAAATATCGGATGCCAAAAGCAGTAATTTATACTCTTTGAAAATGTTTTTTAAATATTCCTTGCGCCATTAAAAAATAGATAATGTTATTGTAACTTTAATATTATGAAACAAACATCTTTACTTTGATCTTACCTATAATGTAGCAAATTTGTCGGTCCGTTAACTTTTTTTTATTAATAGAATTGTCCTCAGTATAAAAGTGCACTTTACCTAGACAAGAAGAAAAAAATCTGGTATAAGTTTGTAAATGCGTGCCAGATAAAATGGACCTTCTGTCTAGTTCTCTTAAAAAAAATATTTCTCAGTAAAAGTATTAAAACACGTACCTAGATAAACTCCCTAGAGCGAAAAGCTCTTTAAAACTAAATTAAACAGAGGACATCCGGGGATTGAAATCTGGTTTTTATATCCATTTCACCCGACGCCAAATGTAAAACCATATTTAAAAAAAATGCAGCTTATTTTATAACAACAGAAAAACCATTAGATCATTGATGAATCACATTGCTCACAAATGTAGTCAGGTAGATATAATTGTATATCTATAGCATAAATAAGTCATTTTTTTCGAGCAGAACTAACGAAAGAAATTGTTTAATAAAATTTATAATAGCATCTTGATGTTGCTATTCATGCACTTTTTTAAATATGTGTTTACAATACATTTCAAACTTTATACAAAAAAAAAGATTAAGAAGAAAACCCGCTGGTATTTTTTTTTATACTTATTTTATGTCATCGATGAAGCCTGAAATTATTTGTATCATAAGTTTTTTACTGCTGGAAATATTTAATTGACTAAAAACCACAAAGTGAGTTCTGAGGTGTTAAAACGAAATGAAAAAGACAATCTTTCAGTAATGAATGATGCAAGAAGGAAGGAACACAATGTTCAATTTGCAAAATATGTAAGTAAGTATATCCAGTTAAAAAGTTATTCGGCCTAAAAATGTAATTCTTATAAATTTATTTTAGTTCGACCAGTTCGGGACTAAGACAATAATATTCTAGAGGTCTATGCAGATTTATGATTTGGGTAAAAGGGAGGCACATCACTGTCCCTCAAATGGTCCGAGTTCGCAGGGAGAAAACTCGAACTTGTTATAAAATGTAAATTTTCAGTAATAATGAAGTTGGCTAGGAGATTATTTGGTTAGTCACTCATTTTTGCTTTAGCCAGCAATGCCAAGCGTGAACTGAATTTTCTAAGCTGCAAAAAATATGTTACTTTTAGTTTTCAATTACTTATTTCTTAAAATCTATAACAGGGAATCATAGTGGATATATTTTTTGGTTGTGTAATTTTGAAGCTTTTTTTTTATTAATGCTATTATAAACAAAAATTGTTCTCCATAGTTTGGCGCTAGATTTTGAGTTTTAGTCTTTCATAGTTTGTTTATTCAGGACCAATTTGAGGAAATTTATCCTTGATCGTTCTTTATAAGTATTAACTATTTATTAAATCACTCAAAAGATTTGCGTTTATTTACATTCTAATTTTTATTTTAGAATGTAATTATTCCTCTTATGAGGTATAGATACATTTACTGGTGACTTTTTACCAAAACCAAAAAATAATACTGCGGAACACAAACAAATTCTTAAAATAAAAGCATGCTTTGGTATAGAAGTTAAAAAACTTCAGTAGTTCGTTCATAGAAAATAAATTTTTATAGGTAATTATGTTGAGAATACGAGATATGGTGTAGACTTCAGTAATATTATTGTACTTCATTTCTTTAAATAGAATCTTAAAAAAAATCGTAATACCTATATCAATGAACTACTTTCTCAATTGTCTTAGGAAAGACTGAGTAACGGCATATATCAGAATTAATTAGATAAAAATGGTTAAATAAATCTTAACTGACTGAAATTGAGAAATTCGTAAGAGAAACATAATTTATTATTTTATATTTATCCATATCGTGG